CCTTTATTAGTTTGGCGCAAAAACGTTGACCTACATTGGTCCTGGGGCTAACTAGTTGCTTTGGGCACTAACCTATGTCGGGTGGTGATCCTCTTGTTTCTCATCCTTGCATTATCCGCTACGAAAACCCGCTTTATTTTACCGTTCAGTCCATTCTTGTCTTTGTGCTTTTTCTCACAAATTTTTTCCACTCCGCGCTGGTCATGTGGGTGGAATCAGGCCTGCTTTACACAGCTGGAAACGTAGAGTGCATATCGAGAAACGCATAGGCCTGACTCCGCCTGCAGGACCATCCTTGCCTGATAACTGTGATGATGAATATGTACTGAAGGGAATTTTAGGTGCGTAGCGGCCTCGAGATGATCGCCACTATGGCGTACATCCTAAGAAACTGGGAAACGTATGGAAACGAGTTTTTGAAGACGTTCAAAGACCAGCATTTTTTCTTAGCTGCTCTTAAAGGTCTCAGAAATGGTGTCGTGTAAGTACACATTCCAAATCGTGCACTTGGACATTTCACTGATTTATTGATTCATTTTCACAAATGCAGAAATCCGTGCAATCCATGTTTCAGATATGGAACTCGAATTCGTGCACCGCACGCTCTCGTCATGGTATTCCTTTTCGGCGAGGGACGTGAGTTTTTCATTGGACATTCCAACAGACTTATTTCCACGAATTGGCCTTTTACAATATTATTTGTTCGATGACATAGCAACATGACACTTTTATTTTTCAGATTCGCTGAGAAACTGCAAACAATCTTCCGTCTAACGAGAATACACGCCACGAATCTGGCAAAGTTCGTATTTAGCTACAAGCTGATTAAAGGAGTCCTTCAAAAATTGGAAGGTAATACTTCAGATTGTCCTGAAATAAGATAGATACAACTTAAAGACTTTCTGAAGAAAAGCAGTGGTAGACTCTCACCGTTAAAAAGGGTGCAGTGGTACGCCTGACTCCGCCCGCGCAGCTAGCGTGGAATAGCCATGCAAGTAGCGTGGAATAAAATTTGAAGCGCGCCTAAAATAAAAAAAATCAAGCCCGCACCTTCAATAAATACGAAATGTGTGTTTCTCAAAGCAGTGATGATTCCAGGACGATCCCAGGAATGGCATTCCTTTCCTTGCAGCTTTTGTCATGGGTTATTTTGTCTTCGGTGACAATAACGCTGTAAATATGCAGGTCAGCTTCATTTTTAACTTGTTCTGCATTCCACTTATTTCTCAGTTGCTTATTTTATTTTCGATTTTATTTATTAATGATGCGCTGTTCTGGTGTAGTACCACCTTGGGGTCTAATGCTTATTCGAACGCCCAAATGGTTGTTCTAACGACCATGCAAGGGAAGTAAGCTTAAAATTACTCCAAGGCGATCCCGTAAACAAAATCCTCGGATTTTTCCTTCCGCTACAGCCAGCAGGCCCATACTGCATCTTCACTTGATTCCTGGCACAATACTTGGTGCTCATCACCCTTCACATTTATTCTTACGAAAGCGACACCCTCGACACTGTGAGTGGGTCGCTCACGGTAAGACCTTACTGTATTGCCACCACCCAGCGGCATATCCTAGCAGGACCGCAGCCTGCGCGCATGACCTCGCCGTTTAATTGCTGCGCGCACTGCTGACCTTCATTAGGCCTATTTTACGTAACGAGATGAATCGATTTGTTTATTCACAAGGCTGAGTGTTAGGAAGGAAATTTCTTTACAATGGCAATAGATTTACAACGAAACAAATAAAATGCACTCCTTAACATTCGAAAAATTTATAAGCTTACCTATTTTTTTTTTGATTAAATTATTATTAATATTTAAAATTATATGGTTTTTTGTAGAGGGGCGTCTTCCTGAAAAGAAATGGGCGACAAAGGTGGAGGAGCTATCGATGGGTCTGTGGTTTCACGAGAACTGGGCGACAAAGGTGGAGGCGCTGTGCAGCAATCTGTGATTTCGTAAAGAAGAATGGGCTACAAAGGTGGAGGCGCTACAGAGGAATTTGTGCTTTCGTTTCGTGTGTTAGCAGAATGGGCGACAAGTGCTGGACGGCACTATGCCAGAATCTGTGATTTCCCGAGGCAGGAAATGGGTGTTGTGATTGCATGCACGTCCCGGCTGACATCGCTGGTAGGCTGAAGACACATAAGCATTTCTGGAGAAATGCCCTGAACTGGGGTAGATGTCAGGAAATATGCAGGTGCAAAGCCACAGCAGAAGATGCAGAGGATCGGAGCAAGTGGCGACGTCTAACAAGAACAGCGGACTCGGGGGGGGGGACTAACGCTAGGGAGAAGAAGAAGAAGTTTTGGGACGGTACTGGTGTGAAGATGATGCATCGGCGGAGTAGCAATGTAGAAGCTATCCGTGTAGAGTGATTGGGCCGGCGATAGAGCAGCAGAAGCATGTAGAGAACTGGGTCGAGTAGAACCTGTGAGGAATGAGTTTATGGAAAAGTCATGACAAGACGCGGTGTAGTAGGCGCCTGAAAGCATGCTCGTAACGACAAACACGCACTGTTCTCTCCCCAGATTGTTATGACAGGTGCCCTCATACGAAAGTTTATGAACATATTTCAAGCGGCATCATATAGGAAGATAAGAATTAATTGTAAGGGATTAATTTCGCCTGTTGGAAGGTCATTCGATGTATATGAACACCTAAAAACAGAAACATTTAAAAATTTCAACACGTTTTTCTTCGATGCGAACATTTATCCTCAACCCAATATTCATAGAATTACGAAATTACTGATTTTAACTTATCAAATCCGATTATCAAACGGATTCGAATCGATTCATCTCGTTACGTTGAGTAGCCAGTGAGAGGTCAACAGTTAGACGCGCGGCCTCGGGATATGCGCTGGGTGGTAGCATACAGTATCTTACCGTATCCTACTCCAGCTAAGGGTGCTCACCCACTGTGAGTTTCTCCGCCCACTTCTCCGTCCAAATCGATTTATCAGGAAGCGTCTACATGCTTCTTCTGTTAGTTCATTGCCACTGAGGTATAATATTTCCACTTTCAGATAAATTTGTATCTACTATCAAGGATTACTGTCGGACTAGCAAAGCTGGCCGCTGATAGGGAAGTGATACCCTCAACCGAGTACGTTTTTATCCTTGTGAACATAAAAGTCATTGCGCTGAAGTATCCTCCTGGCTATGACTTTGGAGCCATTTAACTTTCCGGGGTAGTGGCGGGATGCCACGGAGTAGGCTACAGTGTCGAGATGGGGACATTGGTCCGGTGTTCACAGAATCCCCTCCCCACCAAAATTTCCTTTCAGTAACTGCACCTCCTTTTGCATCCTACCTAGCAGCTTCTTATATTTTCCCAGCTCCCGACAAATTTCCCAGGTATTCTTCTAGTTTCTCCTGGAAACCGAAAAGCTGCCGTCATGATATGGGTGTGTACGACTAGTAATAAAGAACGCAAACTGTAAGATAGATGGTGCCCGCACACGAAAGGCAACAACGACAAAAAATTTGTTGGAAGGGTTTATTTCACCGGTTTTGAGCGGAATTGTGCTCTCAAGAGTAACTGTAACCCCTCTCGACGCCGAAAAAATACGTCCCCATGGGATCTCTCATAATGATCTTGCGGCCTGATGGGGAACTAAAGCATTCAAACAATCGTCACACCTTGTGCGAATGAGTGGAAAAAGAGGGACCTGGATTCTTATGAGTTGCGCAAAAGTTTCTGCCCTTAATGCAATCCCCTCTCTCTCTCTGTAAGTAGGACCCCTTTCCACAAGGCGACCTATCATTTTTACCAAACCTTCTTGAAAAAAGTTTACTGGTCAAGCGGATGCGGGGGCGGAATAGATATTACGAATCATTCCCAGGATGTGAGTAGTTTTGGGCGCGACCTCTATGGCGGGGGGGGGTGGGGGAGAGAGGGGATTGGACGGATGAGTAAACAACGCGCGTGAGCTCGTGAGATGGGAAATATCAACAGTTAGAGGAAACATTCTCCAGGCTAAATAGGGCTCCTCTCCCTCGGCCAGACGCGACCGTCTTTTAGGGATTCCTAAAGTACTCCATCTCCTGGGGAAACAACACCCATAGGGGAAGTCAATGGTTTTCCATGAAAATTTGGCCATTTTTTGACTTTCAGATTTCCCTGTCTTCCCAATTTTCGGCGCTGTCGTCTGGGGAATTGTATTATGGTTGTTTGAGCATCATACAGACGTCCTACAAGGATCTCTTGTGAAGAGTATGACCTATTTGTATAGGGACTCTAACTATTGGACGGATATTCGAAATTTCCTTTTGAGGAACAAGTAGTTTGACTTTCTACTCTCTTATCGGGTCGTATTTCTTTACTGTGCGCTATTATTACCATGCATTGATAAGAAAATTTCGGAAAATTCCTGCTTACTGTGTTTGCCTATAGTTAGCTGTTTTCTTGTTTACTTGTATGTTTATTCTATTTGTTCAAATGAATTGAATCCTACAACATGAAGAGTAAAATCGTTGTTTACTGGTAACAAGGGTTTTCTTGAAAGCATCTTAGCGCTGGAACTTCGGATCCTGTGGCACGACTCGTTCTGGTGACCTAGCTTCTGGCCTGAAACATTCAATAGCCATGAAATG